TTTAAATATGTTTGACTTAGTACTCAATGACTATTAATTAACTTTGAGTCAACCATCGATTTTTAAAATTTATATTTTACCTTTAATCTATAGCATAAAATTAAAAAATTCTCCAAAAAAATTGGAGTTGAACACATGTCTCGTATAACAAAATTATTCCTTTATCCTTTGAACAATGAGTATTTTCTTGGATGCCACATATTTTATGAACTGGATCAATAATTGAATTATTTTTATTGATTTTGACAAAAGTAAATGAGCTGAGAATTTGCATAGTCCACTTTTAAAAATAAAAACCCTAAACCAAGTAAAAATAAATAAATTTTGGTAATTTTTAGTTGAGCTATATTTATTAAAGCACTTTTTATGTTCTTTAATAAAATTTTCTATTATTATTAGACAATTTATTCAATTATTTATAAAAATTTAAACTGATAAAAATATATTACCATGTATAATAAACTAATTATTTGCAAATTTAAAGAGGAGATTTTGATTAAAACTATAATTTTTTAAAATAAAATTATATTGCTTGGAAAATGATTTTTTGTTTTCACTTTTTGGATATTAAGCATATACATTTTGCATGTCAGATTCCAAAATTTGCACATTATAGCCTTTACATACTTCCTGAGATTATTACTACTTTTTTACCTTAGTCAATTAAATTTTTTTACCTTAGTCAACTAAATTTTCTTTTATCATCAATATTTTTGAAAAAAAAAATCATGAATTTTAATTATATGTCAAAAGGTAAGTTTCTTTTAATAAAAACCTAATCTATACTTTCATAGATAAAAAGATCCCGAAAGATCTTCGGACTTATACGTGTTCAGTTTGTCTTTCCTTCCACGGTTTTGTTTTTCATTGTTTTTAACGCTTTGCTTTGGTAGCTGAACTAAAATTAAATGATATTTGAAATGAAAGAACAAAAGTGACTCGAAATACTGTAATGTCAAGTCTGTGAAAGCTCTCATGCCTTTCTCCATCTTTTACTCCTTTTTGTCTTCTTTTTTGTTTTTTAGCCTGTTAGTTTCTTTTTGGGTTTGAAGTTTCTCAATACTTTGGTTTTTTTTTTTTTTTGTGTTTAATCTTGTGGTTGCCATTTTTTTTTTTTTTTTTGTTGTTGTGAGTTTCCCAGTGGAAGGAACAAAGCCAATGCCATGAGTAAACGTGGTGTTGTTCGTGCTTAAGGGAAAATAGGTCCTGTCGAGGTGCCACCGCTCTTTGATCGGAGACTCCATATTTGCTTTCCCCAACGATCACCTCGAGTTTAGTCCGTTTCTTTCTCTGCAACTCACTGCATATTTAATAAGTAGTTAACATATTGCTTTGCTTTTTATTTTAGTTCTCTTACATTTGAGAAATCGTTAGGAGTAGTAATTAAAAGACAATTGTTGCAAGAGAAAGCTTTAAAAAGTGTAGTGCTAGACAGCTGAAAGAGGAGACGAGTTTGGAAATAGGGAAAGCAGAGTACTTAACAATGACCAACAACCTCTTCGATGACCTCTTAGTTGGCGATATATTGGATGATTTAAATCAAATTCTCACTCGATTTTCGTCAATTTATCAATGTGTTAGAGCTTAGTTTCGTAGAACTGAAATTGAAATGCAGATCCATTGGAACACGTGTTGGGATGGGTCTAGAAGCAGTGTTTATGAACCAAACGCCCAGCTCCAACAAGACCTCGAAAATATGCTAAAAAGGCCAAGGAAGCCAACAACAGCCACCACGTTAGCATTGAAGAACACCAAAGCTTTGATATCATTTATTGGATTAAAAACTTCAAATTCAATCATATTAATAAAAATAAAATTAAACAATAAATCAAACACATAAAAGATAATAATTTAATATGATTTGATCCAATCAACCTACGTTTATAGAGGAGAAATAAGATTCATTAATTGTAGAGAATTACAAATATACATCAAATCATCAACCTCACTCAACAATCAATACTCATAAGACACTCTCAATCTCCTTTAGTCCTATGAATATTCTCAACCCAAACAAACATAAACTCAAATCCTTGTGCACATTTTCAACATAACTAAACACATACATATATGCTCTCATATATCATATTTATGTGGATCATCTCAGTCTCATCTAGTCCACTCATAAACAAACATACACACCTATAAGACATAGAGCTCCAATACTCCTACGAGATGTTTATCTCACAAAACTCTACAACTATCTTACATCTTTTTCTCATATCTAATCCTATAGAGACTTCACCTATTTATAACCATACAAACTTACCCATTAAAAATCCTTCTCCTCTTAGAATTCTTCTCCTGTAAGTCAAATTTACTTATTAAGAATCCCTTTCCTTTTAGAATTCTTCTTTTGCAAATCAAACTTATCTATTAAGAATCTTTTTTTTCTTAAAATTTATTTTTTGCAAGTCTTCTTATCCATCAAGCAATATCTGACAAATCTCAAACAAATCTCTAACAAATTTCAAACAAATCTCTTATAAAATTTGAGTCATTATTACGAACATTTAGTTTGTATTTGATTCATGACTTTGCTTTTACTACCCTATATGGTTTGATTCTACGTTAATTATTTTATCTTAATTCAATGCAAAGTAAGTCACTACATAGATTGTGCTTTCAAATTCGATGCTTCACTATGGATCTCTTTATCTATCTAACCCATAATAAAACTAGCAGCCATCAATTAATTCAAAACAAACATAAAAATAATTATGATCTGCAATCAATTTTATAAGCCTCCAATCCCATTGATAGTGTTCTTACTTCATACAGCTCCAATTCATGCAACTTTGCCTTTGCTTGCATCAATGTTGTACATTTATTTCTCTCCTATAATAATAATTTCACTATTGCATTTGCATGCTCATATACTATAATTCCTCAAATGTCAAAGTGTGATTTGTCCTGTTAAGAAATCAAAATATTATTACGTTTTCTTTGATTCTATTGATTTTGTTATGTTTTTTTATTTTTTTAAGTTAAAATAAGATTCAATTTTAGTAATTTTAGATGCTTATAAATGGGGAAAAACTTTCTTATGAAAGGTTTTATGGAATTTTTTTATTATCAGAAGGAAAAAATTTTATTATAAAAAATGTAAGCATGTACAATCTACAATCAATTGCTAAAATCTTTTTTCTTTTACAATATAAGTGAAAGCAATGTTTCCTCCAAATCTTAAACTATTTATCATAGTCTATCATGACAATTTATTTAATTATATGTTGAATACCATTTAATGTTTACTCTTCCGTTCTATAAAATAGTTTATTTTCCACCACAAATATTTTTATATAATTAATTTTTCTTTATTCATGCATTACTTAGATGAAGTAACACTTAATCTTAAAAGTAAAGGTTTCAAATTTAAATATCGTCTTCCCTAATAATAAACACTATTTTTATTGTAGAGTTGTTTATTGAAAATTCTTTTTTTATCCACTACTTAAAATCATGTAAAATTCTATTTGTGTTATATTTTACAAAAATTCTATTGTAAATTATATTTGTTTTGGTACTTAAGAAATGTTATTAAGCTGTATATTATAATATGTTAATGAGCAAAGAATAAAAACTTTTTTATAGCATTTTATATTTTTGATGATGGATTAATTTATATAGTGTAATTTTTTTAATTTTATATATTTTCTAACTTTTGATTTAAATAAATTTAAGGGATGAGACAGATAAAAAAAATTAAAAAAATGATTTAATTTTATCATTGGATTTATTGAAATTAATTATTAAAAATATGTAAAATTAAAAAGTTTTACACTATGTATGTTGATATCTCCTCTTATATTTTATTAGATAATTTTAGAAGAAATTTTGTTCTTTCCTTTTTTTTTTTTTCTATACGTATGAGAAACTCTATCATAAAAACTCTACCAAATCTTATTAATTGATATTCCATTGTATTAAAGCACAAGATTTAATATAATGATTTTAAAAAATCATCCACGAAATTAAATATAAGTATTATATAAATATATATTACCACTGTTAATGAAATTAGATTCAAACTGTATTATCATGAATAAATTTATTTTATTTAAATTATGAATTAATGTTATAAAAATATAAAAAAAATTATAATAATTTGTACATCCAGTGGACTTTAAAACTAATGGAGAAGTAAATAACACAAAAGGTATATTTTAGATTTAGCCATTTATTTATATTTATTATAAAAAATATTAATAATTTGTATATTTATATAATATTTTATACGAAAAATATATATTATAATTCGTATAAATATAAAATATATAATATATTTTTTGTTAAATTTATATATAATTTTTATTAAAATTTTAAATTATATAATTTTTATATCTTTTTTATATCATCTTATCATATTATATTTTAAATTAATACATCTAATATATTTGTTTCTTTCTTTTCGTTAGCCTAGCAATTAAAATCATTACCCTTCAAAGGGGGTGAGAGAGTACGTTTTTATATTTTTCAATCAATTTAATGACGTACGACGTGCCTACCTGAAAGCATAATTTAAATAGTGTTAATAATTGTGTGATTTATTTATAACATGGTCAATTCCGCGCCCCATTTCTCAATATAACTTTTATACGTGTAATTATAATCTTATGGAGCCAAAAATTTTACAAAGGGCCAAATAGCAAATATATATATATATATGAATATAAATGTACATATGCTAATATTGCACATGTATATTTACACACTGAAATATATATAATTATAAAAAAACAAAATTTTAAATTATTTTCTTGAAATATATAATAAGAATTTTGTCTTAATCAAATATCATATAAAAAGTTTGGGTATTAATTTCATTTTTTATTTTATGGTAATTATAAATTCTAGTATAAGAAAATAAAAAAAAGGCACACATACTTAAAAATGGGCTTAAAGATAAAAATATAGAGAACAGCACAACAAAAACGGGAAAGAGAGTATAGACCGAAACAGTGACCCGAATTGAAGATTGCAAATCCCGCCGCTGATTTAAAAAAAAAAAAAAATGCGAACATCATTTTCTCTCTGTTTTGGACGACAAAAAATTCAAACATTATTTAGTAATTTGTAACAAAACGACAAGTCAAACCTAAAATTTCTTGCTTGTCGATTTCGTTCCAATTAAACCAAGTCAATTCTCGTACCAGAACAACAACCCAGCAAACTTTCCTTTCTCTTCCTTTCTTAATCTTCTTCTTCATGCTTACTCGTCCTCGTTGTACAGCCCAACCTTGATTACGACCCTCGGTATTCATTGGGGCCGGCCCACTCCTTCATGGGATTCTTCGCTAAACTCTTTGCTTGCATCGAGAAACGCCTCAAAGCCTCACGAAGTGGCTCCACCAGGGAAGACGGAGCAGACGAGGGCTCCGACACTCACGGCCTTTTCTTCGAACTTCGTGCGCTCCAAATTGCTACTAACTATTTCTCTGAACTTAATCGCCTCGGTCATGGTGGCTTTGGTCCCGTCTACAAGGTACGTTTCTGTTTATCTCAATTTTGCCTCTTTTGGCTAGTCTAGTGAATTGTTTTTTCTTTTGCTATTTATTTATGGTGGTTTCTAATAGGGAAATTTTGTCTGCTGAATATTTCACTTTAAAACTTTTGCTTTTTTGTGCAATTTTTTTTTAAAAAAAATTTTAAGCTCTTGAATATCTGATGAACAAATATTCTTAGGTTATTGCTTGTGAAAAAGCAATAAATAATTACAATCTGAACAATTTTAGTTTCTTTTGTTTGTCGCTTTGGTTTTTTACTTCTTCAAAAGTAAAAGAAAATGATAGAAAACAATGTCATAATTGATTAAATATAATAATAAACTAAAATACAAAAAATATCATGCTTTTTTGTTCTCCAAAATGTTAAAATTGTAGCTTTTAATTCTTCTAAAAATTTATTTGCTTTTGGATCCGACCGACTACCTTAGTGTTTTAGAACAAATAAAATAATATTATCTTTTTAGAACAAATAAAATAATATTATCTAAGGCATGGATCAAAAGCGTTTCATGATCCAGTTACACTTGTTAGTCGTTAGGATCAGGATCCTATAGGCCAAGTTTCTTTGCTATAAAATTACCAACACCAAACATTTTTAAATAGAGGACCTATCCCACCACATTTTTGTAAGAGCACTTAATGGCGTGGAGAATATATGGGGAATGAAATTGAACATACAAGGACAAGGATGGCTGTGGAGGAATGAAAATGAGTCGCGAGACAAAGCCTGTCTATAGAGTGCCAAACATACGTCAAAGGCTCATTAATCATAAAAAAATTGTGCTCAAAATTGCAGTGAGTTGTCGTTGGTTAGAATTACCATAATGACAAAAGGCTGTTACTAGCTTTCTCTGAATCTGGGATTTGAGAATTTGTTTGTTTAAGAAAGACATAGTCTGATACTCTGATTATCTATATGCAACAAAGTTTTTAATTGTGAAAGAGAGCTTTTTAAGGAGCTTCATGTGGGCCTTAATCTAAACTGCTATCACCTGGTGTCTAACTCGGACAAAATCTCATGTGTCACCAGCCCAGCTTTAAACTTCTCATAATGGAAAATTTAATCAGGCATCTGCCTCTCTTATGACATTCCAATGAATACTGAGAAATCAATTATATTTTTCCATGTCTATGTGAAGATTGAAATTTGGACCTAGTAGGAAGAATGCAATCTTTATGCAACATTTACTTGGTGGGGTCTTTGTATTAGGATCTAGAATACAATGAAACTAAAGATGCCATTCTCAGGAAAAATTAGAGAGAGCAAATTTGTGATTCTGTAGTCCACTGAAGATGTTAATCTTAAGTATGCTACTTCTTCCATCTATTGTCTTTTATTCATTTTATCTAATGGTGCCATTCTAACGAGAAGAACAATAGATCTGGGTAGAAAAGAGGAGTATGGATTTGTTTAGAAACAAGCAAAAAGGACAATATCTGGAAACTGATGGTCTGGTAATAACAATTTTTCCATTAGAAGAGATGTTTGGAAGAGTCCATTGCCCCTAGTGTATGCTGATACACTGACATACATGCTATATTGCTGTGTCTGGAAGCTCTATGCTATAATGCCACCTTTGTTGGTTTCCCGTTATCTTACCTATTAAAAGTCTTGTGATGTCAATCCAACAATGTCACCTAAACCATCAACAGACTGTTGTTATATGTATGTATGTGTGTGTGTGTGTATATATATATATATATATATATGTAAAGAAATTAACTTTAGTTAACCCTACCCTAATGCCTCTATCCTAATGATGCCTTTGGTCAAAGGCTTTAGTTTTTATATTTGGTTAGCATTATATGCTATCTTATTGTTTTGCTTGGGTTAAGAAGGAATGGTTGGTGAGCAGAGACTCTTGTGAAATTATTGCTCATTGCAGCTTATATCCTACAGGGTTTGATGCCAAATGGTCAAGAAATAGCAGTCAAGAAGCTTTCACTGGATTCGAGACAGGGACTGAAACAATTCACTAATGAGGTGAAACTTTTATTGAAAACCCAGCACAAGAACTTAGTGATGTTGTTGGGGTGCTGTGCAGAAGGACCTGAGAAGATGCTTGTTTATGAATATTTGCCAAATAAAAGCCTTGATTACTTTCTCTTTGGTAAGAACCCCTTTATATGTGGCATTCACTTCTGTTGCTATGAAAATTTACATGCTCAAACTTATCAGCTCTTTGGTTAATTAAGACTCATAATTGCAATTAAACTTCTTAGATAAGAATAAGTCTTCTTCCTTGGATTGGACAACACGATTTAAGATAGTCACAGGCATTGCAAGAGGTCTTCTCTACCTGCATGAAGAGGCACCTGAAAGGATCATACATATAGACATTAAAGCCAGTAATATATTGTTGGATCAGCAATTAAACCCAAAAATCTCGGATTTTGGCTTGGCAAGGCTCTTCCCTGGAGATGACACTCATGTAAATACATTCAGGATTTCTGGAACTCAGTGAGTAGTTTCTTTGCTTCTATTCCCATCTTATTCTTATGTAATTGTAATTGCAGCTTAAGTAGCTTAAGTGTACTAGGCTCATTTTCTTTCAAGTTTTATAGGGGTCAGTTTTGTTGTTAGCTAAGAAAGATAAAAATAAGTAAACCCTTTCATTGCCTGCAGTGGTTACATGGCCCCCGAATATGCCATGCATGGATATTTGTCTGTGAAGACTGATGTTTTCAGCTATGGAGTTTTGGTCTTGGAGATAGTAAGTGGGAGAAAAAACCATGATAGCTGTCTTGGTTCAGAGAAGGCAGATCTCTTGAGCTATGTAAGTTAAATACCCTTATATTATGGATAATTTTGATTTATAGTATATCCACCTAATTCTTTTCTTTATCCTGCTAGAGGTCTCTACTTGAACTTCTATTCCTTATATAAGTTTTTTTCATTTTTTTTTCTAATGTCAATAATCTTTCATAAATCACAACACATTCTGTACCCCTCGGTCATTGGTGGTGCCACCAGTGTCTTACACAATGTTTTGCTGCTTTGATCTCTACTTCATCGGTAATCCTTATTGGATAGATATGCCACAACTATCTGGCATCTGATATTTTTCTAGTCTTCTAAACCTTTCACATCTTTAGTAGAAGCTCTTGTTGTTGGAATTCAGAAAGCTAAAAACTTATATCGATTTATTTAGTGGTGAGATAAAATCTGATATGAAGTGCTGTAAAATTGAATACACCTTAGAAGTGCTGTAAAAAGTTGCTATGCTAAGAAGAGATAAAGTACATGTGATAAGTCTAATCCTGACTGTTTTCTCGCTTTGTTATACAGTCATGGCTGCTCTTTCAAGGAGGAAAGTCATTGGATTTAGTTGATCCATCCCTTGAGAAGTACAATCGCGATGAGGCAGCAATGTGCATTCAGCTGGGTTTGTTATGTTGTCAACAGACTGTTGCTGAGAGGCCTGACATGAACTCTGTTCATCTCATGCTTTCAAGTGATTCATTTACTTTGCCAAGGCCAGGTAAACCTGCAATTCAAGGCCGCGTAGGACGGTGGACAACAACTTCTACTTCTGCTTTTACTAGTACTAATGCCAATAGCACGAACACTGGTGTCACAAAGGCTTCGGGAGGCAGTAGTTTTGTTGAGGATTATTCTAGAAATTCCATATCATATTCTTCTATTGATGAGGGTAGATGAGCTACTTGTAGTATAGTTGTGATCTCATGTAAAACATTATTTTTATATGATTTAATGTTAATATCATCTTATTTGTTTGGTGATGCTAAATTTCTAGTTGAGGTAGCGGAGAGAAAAGGAGGGAAATTTATTCTTTATTTTTATTTTCTACAGAATTGTTTTTATTTTTTAGTTTTTATTTTCTAAAAAATATATTTGATAAACAAAAATAAAATTTATTTTCTACAAATGCAAAAATAAATAAATAAATAAAATATTAAATGATATTACTATTAATGATATCTAATTACAAATATAATATATATTTATTAATTAATGATATTAAATAATGTTCAAATATGATAACTTATAAAATACAAAGAAAAAAATGTACATGTCTTGTTTTTATAATTAAAAACATATTTTTCCATATTTCAATCTATTTTTATTTTTGTTTTTTAAAATTTATTTTCATTTTTAATTATTAAATACGTTTTCATTCATATTTTTTATATTTTTAAAAAATAAAAAAAAATAATTCTATTTTCTTAAATCAAACAACGGAATGGGTGGATGTTGTTTTTTATTTTGTTGCTAAGTGGAATGCGTGGAAATTGTATTGATTGTTTTCTTGTTGGTTATGTCGTAAGACAGAGAAACTCAACAATTTGAATTTATTCAATTGAGATCAAAATGATTCAGTTTGAATATCATGTCATGAATCTTATTAATTTAAAAATTTTAATAAAAATAATTTAAATTTTTATTTAAAATAATTCGATTCAATTCATATCATACGTTGAATTAGGAAAAAAGATCTTAAATAGGATTAAAAAAAAAAAAATTCAACTCGATTGAAAAATCCTATTAACGCTGCTTAAAATTGGAGATGCCCTAGTTTTCTTTCTTGCATTCTACGAATGTAGCAGGATTGGGACTTTGATTTTGATTTTGATTTCTCATTTCTCTTTCACTTTATTTAATTCATTAATTAGTGAAAAGAAGATTTGAACGGGAAGGGGCCTCCTGATTGGTGTTTCTAGTTGTAGACCAACCCGTTTGCCTGCCGGCCGCCCAAACAGAGCTGTGACTATCCTGTCCACAAACATCCCTACCTTCTCCTTCAACTTCAACTTTCATTTTTTTTATTTTTTTATCAAAAAAAAAAATAACTTCGAGAATTTTGAGGAGAGTTCCATCTTCAATGTTCAAACTTACAAGTCAAGAGTCAAGACAGGAAATCTCCGACAGGCACCTATTCCGCTAATTATTGCACATAGAGTCATGCAACCTTTTAACTTAATTCATAGGAACTTTTATTATAAATTAAAATTTTTTTAATATTATAAGATTATTGAATAATAATTATTAGATATAAAGAATTAATATAAATTATTAAATTTTTTAATTCTAAAAATAGTTAATTATCTGTTAACCTATTAATTTGATTTTAATTAATTACATTAAATATTATTTATTAAATAAAATAAAAAAATTTAATAAATAAATATAATTTATTTAAAATTTCTAAAAAAAAGGTAAGATAGTATAATATTTTAAAATATTTAATTAAAAATTTATTAACGTAAAAAGGTAAAAATTATCTTAAAATTGATATTATTTTATATAAAATATGTTAAAAGTGTCGTAACACTCTAAAAAAAATTATGATAATTTTAAACGTAATAAAAGTAAGAATAAACTTGAAAATATATTATTATAATATAAATAATTAAGTTAACAAACGTAAAAAAATTATTACTTTAAACCTAAGGAATAATTCTAAACCAATAAATAAATATTAACATAAAAATATAAAAATAATCATAAAATTAATGTCATTTAATATAAAATGAGTTAAAAGTATTGTAACACTCTAATAAAGAGTTGTGATAGTTATAAATATAATGAAAAATAACAACATACATAAAAAGATTCTATTGTAACAAAAATAATTAAGTTGGTAATGTAAAAGAAATATTATTACAAGTAAAAAAATAATTTTAAATCAAAAAATAAAAGTTAATGCAAAAAAGTGAGAATAATGATAAACTTAGTATTATTTAACATAAAATAATTACAAGTATCGTTATATCTTAATAAAACATTGTGATAATTTTAAACGTACAGAAAAATAATAAGTATAAAAAATATTATTAAAATGTAAATAATTAAAATAGTAATGTAAAAACTTAGTATTATAAATAAAAAAATAATCCTACCCAAAACATAAGTGTTAACGGAAAAAGATAAAAATATCATAAAATTGATTTTTTTTTTACTTAAAATTGTTATAAGTGTCATAACACCTTTAAGAAAAAGTTATAATAATCCTAAATATAATGAAAGGTAACAACAAGCGTAAAAATATATTATTATAACGTAAATAATTAAGTTGATAACATAAAAATTATTATTGTAAATAAAAATAGTTTTACTAAAAAAGTGTTAACATTAGAAAGTGAGAATGATTGTAAAATTGAAATCATTTGACGTAAAGTGATATAGAAGTGTCGTAATGTAAAAAAGTAAAAAATAGTTATAAAATTAGTATCGCTTAGCATAAAATAGAATTAAAATTATAGAAACACGTTAACAAAGAGTTGTGATAAATTTAAATATAATAAGAAAAAGAACAAGTGTAAAAAAATATTATTGTAACATAAATAATATTTTCGGTAACGTAAAAGAATTATTATTACAAATAATCAATAATTCTAAACCAAAAAATAAGTGTTAATAAAAAAAAAAGATAAGAGTAATCGTAAAATTGATATTATTTAGTGTAAAATTGTTAGAAGTATCATAACATCTTTAAGAAAAAAGTTGTAATATTTCTAAATGTAATGAAAAGTAACAACAGGAGTAAAAAGATATTATTAAAATATAAATAATTAAGTTGATAATATAAAAAACTACTATTATAAATAAAAAATAATGTAAAATAAAAAATTAAGAGTTAATGTAAAATGGTGAGAATAATCATAAAATTAGTATTATTTAATGTACAATAATTAGAAATATCAGTTCACCTTCAAAAAATTATAATAATTCTAAATGTAATGAAAAGTAACAATAAACATAAAAAAAATTATTGAAACATAATAAATTGGCAATGTAAAAAAACTAATATTATATATAAAAAAATAATTCAATAAAAAATAAGTGTTAATGAGAAAAATGTGAGAATAATTGTAAAATCAGTATCATTTGACATAAAATATATTAAAAGTGTTGTAACACCTTACGAAAATCTTGTGATAATTCTAAATATAGTAAAAGCTAAGAACAAGCGTAAAAGATTTTATTATAACATAAATATAAGTTGACAACATAAAAAATTATTATTATAAATAAAAAATAATTTTGAATAACAAAATGCATGTTAAAATAGTAAGAATAATTAAAAATTTGAAATTATTTGGTGTAAAATAAGTTATAATGTTGTAACATAAAAAGATAAGAATAGTTATAAAATTAGTGTCATTTAGAGTAAATTGGATTAGAGAATATAGTAACACCTTAACAAAAAATTGTAATAATTCTAAATGTAATAAAAAGTAAGAACAAGTATATTATTGTAACATAAATAATATTTTTAGCAACATAAAATAATTATTATTACAAATAAATAATAATTTTAAACCAAAAAATAAGTGTTAATATGAAAAATGTGAAAGTAATTATAAAATTGATATCATTTGACGTAAAATGGTTAGAAGTGTTATAACACCTTTAAAAAAAAGTTATGATAATCCTAAGCATGATGAAATGAAAGAACAAGTGTAAAAAAAATTATTATAATTAAGTTGGTAATGCAAAAAAATTATTATTACAAATAAAAAATAAAAGTTAACATAAAATAGTGAGAATAATCGTAAAATATATACTATTTTACGTAAAATGGTTAAAAGTATTATTATACCTGCAAAAAAAATTGTAATAATTCTAAACGTAATGAAAAATAATAAAAAATATAAAAAGATATTATTAAAATGTAATAAATTTGAAACGTAAAAAAATTAGTATTATAAATAAAAATAATTCTAAATAAAAAATAATGTTAAAGTAAAAAACTGAAAAATAATAGTAAAATTGATATAATTTGACGTAAAATATGTTTTAAGTGTTATAATATTTAAGAAAAATTTGTGCCATTTCTAAGTATAATAAAATGTAAGAACAAACGTAATAGATTTTATTATAATGTAAATAATTAAATTGATAATATAAAAATTATTATTATAAATAAAAAATAATTTTAAACCTAAAAATAAGTGTTAATATAAAAAAGTGAGAATAATCATAAAATTGGTATAATTTAATATAAAATGTGTTAAAAGAATCGTAATGTAAAAATGTAAGAAAATTCATAAAATTAGAATCATTTAGTATAAAATAGGTTAGAATTATCGTAACACTTTAAAAAAAAGTTGTGATAATTTTAAATGTAATGAAATATAAGAACAAGCTTAAAAAATATTATTTTAATATAAATAATTAAGTTGATAACATAAAAATTATTATTATAAATAAAAAATTTAATAAAAAATAAATGTTTATGTAAAAATGTGAGAATAATCTTAAATTTTGTATCATTAGGCGTAAAAGTATATAAGAAGTGTTATAACACTTTAAGAAAAAAGTTGTGATAATTCTAAATACAATAAAAGATAAGAATAAGTGTAAAAATATATTATTACAATGTAAATAATTAAATTGGTAACATTAAAATTATTATTATAAATAAAAAGTAATTCCAAATAAAAAAAAGTGTTAACATAAAAACTAAAAAAAGTAAAAATAATCATAAAATTGTTATCATTTGACATTGTAATACCTTAAGAAAAAATTATGATAATTCTAAACAAAACAAAAATAAGAACAAACATAGCAAAAAATTAAAGTATATAATTAATTTGAAAATGTAAAAGAATTTATATTTTTAAATTAAAAGATTCTAAGTAAAAAATTTGTTAACTTAAAAGGGTAAAAATAATCATAAAATTTATATAATTAGATGTAAAATGAGTTTGAAAATTTTTATTCTTGAGAAAAGTTTTAATAATTATAAATGTAATCATAAAAAAGTATTAAAAATATATTATTAAACATAATTAATTAAGTTAATTTCGTAAA